GAAGTTACTGTATGAGATTCAACTTGATTTTTTTTAAGTCCGTTTAATTTGAAATGACTTAAACAGCCAAGTTGATTATATTTAAAAATTCTAGGAACTTAAAGTTTAAAGAAAATTTTTATTTATTTTTATTTATTTATTTTACAGTATAGTGGCATTTTATTTTTATTTTGCATGCAAAGTTACCCTCTCCAGTAAGTGAATTATGCTGATATTATGTACAGTTGTGGTCAAAAGTTTACATACACCTTACAGAATCTGCTAAATGTTTCAAACGGTCACTGATCCTCCAGAAAGAAAAACAATGCACTAAGAGCCAGGAGGTGAAAACTTTTTGAATTTGAATATCAGGGTAAAATAAACTTATTTTGTCTTCTGGGAAACATGTAAGTATCTTCTGTAGCTTCTGAAGGGCAGTACTAAATGAAAAAATATGATATTTAGGCAAAATAAGAAGAATGTTCACATATTCATTCTGTTCAAACGTTTACACCCCTGGCTCTTAAATTCTGGAGCATCAGTGAGCGTTTGAACTTTTTGTAATAGTTGCGTATGAGTCCCTCAGTTGTCCTCAGTGTGAAAAGATGGATCTCAAAATCATACGGTCATTGCTGGAAAGGGTTCAAATACGCAAAAGATGCTGGAATATCAAAGAATTTGTGAGACCTGAAGGATTTTTCTGAAGTACAGCGGGCAGTTTAACTGTCCAGGACCAACAAGGGACTCATGGACAACACAAAATAAATAAATAAATAAATCAAGGTAACAACACAGTATTAAGAATCAAGCATATGTAAACTTTTGAATGGGGTCATTTTTTATAAATTCAACTATTATTTTCTCTTGTGGACTATATGTAAATCATATGGAACATGATCACGTCATGTGACAGCAACGTTCCACTGTTTGAAATGATTATAGTTGCATACTGTCCTGTTTTTGAAAAACTGTACTTACGGTATTTCATAAGCTAGTAGTAGTAAGCTAGTATTCCATTCTGAACACAGCCTAAGAAATGAATGGCTATCAGTCACACATCGGGTCATCTAAAGGTTTAGTCGAGTTGAATATGGAAATGTGCCATTGGCAGAGCTTCCGTGGAAAGGCACAATGGTGCGATCTTCAAGTGTAGCTAACACCTGAAACCATGTGAAAGCCTGCTGTGTAACGACTCCAGATAAAAGTCAGTGCTTTAGGCCATTTAAGAGAAGTGAACCTGAATGCAACCCCCGGTGCCTCTTTTCTGCTTTTAGACGCTGTGTTATGTTAAACTACTGTATAAACTATCTAAATATAAAGTCTTGAAATGTAAAAATATGCACCCTGCACAAAAATTGCATGTTGTAAATTGCAAAATTGTACAAGAAAACACAATATAACAACAATGGAAATGTGCATACAAATAATAATTAATAATGCATTTTGGAAGCGTGAAATTTGTGTCCTCTGATAGTTTAGTGAAGCTTATCAAAATCCTTCTCGCATTAACAATGCATTGACTCCAGCATTTTAAATGGTCGCTCGGTGCGTCATCTCACCCTAGGAAGGAACACCCTGTGGGAGAGAGAGAGATTCAGGTTTGTGTCAGGGATCTCATTCCAGGTCCTTTGCTCATCTGCATGTGCAGATGTTTAATTCACAAACCAGAATCTCTGACATCAACTCCCAGCATGCACCAGCACAGCGTGTCTTCAACTAGAATGAGAATAAGTTGCAGTCCATCACAACAGCAATATCACTGATGTAACTAATACTAGCTTATACTACTCCATGTAGGAAGATGTTATGCTTAACCAAGATGAAGAACATTTGCTTACCAATCTGTAAAACACAGAGTACAAATCCAGGTTAATCTGTCCCTGCAATTGTATTGTTGTGTGTGATGAAGAAAGGCTTTGGAGAAGATTACGTAAAAATTAGACATTTCCGGCCCGCATCTTGCAGCAGGTTGGATTGTGATTGTGCAAGAGGACTATGGTGTTTTCTGAGGACACTTGAAAACCCTTCTTAAACCTTACACAAGAATCTGATATTTCCCCCAGTTTAATTCATTTAGAGAAAGTTCATTTCATCTTTTTTTTTGATGAAGCCAAGAGTATTACATCAACTTTGAAAATATATTTGCAAAGTGTTCAGTCGTTAGATATGCATTGTCTTTTTTTCCCTCATTATAAAAGGCATAGTATAGATTATATACTGTAATATTTTTAAACAATAAAAAAGTACTTTTGAATATATGCTTATATATGTTTAAGTGATCAGTCGTATCAGTAACCTATTAAAAGCTGATAATTGGAAACTTGTGGAATAAAGTAACAATTTCTAACAGCAAATAAAGAATTTTAAAAATTGCATTGCTTTTTTTGTTTGTTTTTGCTTTTGCCTAATGCTGCATCCACTAGTGTCGGTTGTCAAATCTCATATATCAGCCAGTGCAATATAAAATGCCTCTTTCATATCAACAGTACAGCGACTTATATCACCTCTGAAGAGGCCAAAGAGTGTGACAAAACACGCCTCAACTTTACATATACCCGTCATAGTGGGTGGACATTCCAGTTGAGCTGTTAGGTTGCATGGCGGCAGTCCTTTAGACTTGAGCTGCTTATCTTTTGCCCACATCTTATGCTTTTTAATCTGTGGGAAATACAAATATTTATGTGTTTTTTTACCCTTGTTCAGCCTGGTTGTGAAATGAAACTATAAAGCACATTTTTGGCCAGTTTGCCTTTGGTTAGTATGTCTCTATCTGTTGTTTGTTCAGTTTTGAGCATACAGCATATGTTATGGTAACACTATACAAAAACGTTAGTTAATGCATCATCTAATATTTACTAACAATGTGCAATTTGATACTGTATTTATTTATCTTTTTTATTAATTATTCATTCAATTGTTCAATTATTAATGTTAGCAGGACTATTAAATAATATCACTTTATAATATTTATAACTTTTGATTTTAATGTATTAGTAAATATTGACATAAACATGAACTATTTTTAATTATTGTTTCTATTTTTAATTGTTGTTTCATGTTAACTAATGTAGTGAACTAGTGGAAACTTTTGTAAACTATTATCATTGTAAACTATCATCATAAGTAAACCCATAAAAGTAAAAATTTAAAAAAGAAAAGCCTGATTTTGCAACAAATATAGATTTTTTCCCCCCTATATCTATAGTTATATCAGACAAAATGTTTGTTATTGTTACATTTAAATTTTAGGTAGTATAATAAATTTAATAATAATAATAATAATAAATATATTTGCAAAGTGTTCAGTCGTTAGATATGCATTGTCTTTTTTTTCCTCATTATAAAAGGCATAGTATAGATTATATACTGTAATATTTTTAAACAATTAAAAAGTACTTTTGAATATATGCTTATATACGTTTAAGTGATCAGTCGTATCAGTAACCTATTAAAAGCTGATAATTGGAAACTTGTGGAATAAAGTAGCAATTTCTAACAGCAAATAAAGAATTTTAAAAATTGCATTGCTTTTTTTGTTTTGTTTTTGCTTTTGCCTAATGCTGCATCCACTAGTGTCGGTTGTCAAATCTCATATATCAGCCAGTGCAATATAAAATGCCTCTTTCATATCAACAGTACAGCGACTTATATCACCTCTGAAGAGGCCAAAGAGTGTGACAAAACACGCCTCAACTTTACATATACCCGTCATAGTGGGTGGACATTCCAGTTGAGCTGTTAGGTTGCATGGCGGCAGTCCTTTAGACTTGAGCTGCTTATCTTTTGCCCACATCTTATGCTTTTTAATCTGTGGGAAATACAAATATTTATGTGTTTTTTTACCCTTGTTCAGCCTGGTTGTGAAATGAAACTATAAAGCACATAGGACAGACTTCATGGTATCTGCCAAGATTTTAATCCTCTCGAATTGTGTAGTCCAGACCCCAGGGATAAATCAAATGTGGCTCTGGGGCGAAAGCACACAAAGATCAAAATCCTGCCCTAGTAAAACAGAAAAAGCAAACAGGAGCAGCGTCTACTGGGTAAAGCTAGCTTTGTTAAGCGTGTGTGGCAATCATCAGGGTATTACAGTCTAACAAACAACCTGCGCAGTTGCTAGAAGTCGAAAACTCAAGTGAATTGACCCCGTGGGACTCGTAGCACAATGCCTCGAGGGCAAGAAAGAAAATCCACTTGCGCATAATTGGGAATAAATATTTATTCTTCTTGCATGAGTATTAAGTCCTATGAGGCATAGTGAATGATGACTTGATGGCCAGATGTTGGCACACAACATCCATCCATGATTCCTCGCTGGATGACAGTAACCCCCCCTCAACCTTCCCACACCGGTGATGGCAAATTCATGTGAGGATTATATTTGACATGGCACAAAAAGACCAGCTGCTCCACAATCATAAATACAGCGAATGCTGTGCGATCTGAATCTACAGCCCTGCATTTTATCACAAGGAGGCATAGCATAAATATATGGATTGACAAATGTGAGTTTAATTACATATTGCCTTAATGTGTAACATTACGGGCTGGATCATTAAAAAGACAAAACACCACATGTTTCACAGAATACGTCGCAGTACCACATTGAAATTGTGTTCCTTGCACCTTAATTTACTAACACACATCATAGTCTTTGTTAACCCATATTGATGAGAACGAATACAGCCTTACAGTGACGCTGTTACCTGAGAAAATGAAAGATTACTTGCCATTTTATGCTACATCTTGTGGACAATGTGCAAAGCAGTTTGCATTTGGACAGCATGTACAGATTGCGCAACATCACCAAATGTGTGCTGCTCTTTACGAGTTTGTGCCGACAAACATCCTCGCTCAAGAGCAGATCATGGAGAAAAAAATGTGCATTTGAGAGCATCCCGCTCGTGTTCCTGTGAACGCCAGTGCATGTGGAATGATTGCATCTGCAAGCGGTCCTACTGAAGCTCAAGTTTGTGTGCAGACGTGCCTCAAAATGGTATAGGAACATCTGAGGGTTTAAAAACCAGATGTGGAGCCTGCAAGACAGACATTCAGACTACAGTTCAGTGACCAAAAGAAGTGACCCCTCATTCTCCGGTACAAAAAAACAGGAACATAGGATCGAGGTCACCTGATTCCCAAAACTCGGAGCCTCAAACTTCAGCAAATCCTCAAAATCCAGCACTCAGGCACTGTGAAATGCACTCCAGACTCATCTTCTCTCGTCCGACTTCCCTCACACGGCCGTGTGTTGGGTGATGTTGCTTTGGGGAGACATGGACATCTGGCGGGTGAACTGGCTGAAGCTTGCAGCTCGGGGTCGGGTGCGAGGAGCTGTGGAGGCCGGGGACGTAGCGGGAGGAACCGGCTCGGGTTGGGTTTGCTGAAGAGGCAGCGAGGTCTGATCCGACACCTGCTGCTCCTTCTGCTGTTCTTGTATCAGATCTCTAGAGAACAAGCTCTGGATCAACTGCAACTTCTCCTTTTCTTCATTCAGGAAGACATCCACCAGAAGAGTCTTCTCCTTCTTCAGCTGCTCGCTGATGTTTTTGGGCACGTCCGGGATCACCCAGGCCACCAGCATGCTCATGGTTATTACCAGGTTCTGGAGGAGTGGGAGATGTATAAGTACACGTATATTCACATTTGCTTGAATGGGTGGGGCGCAGGAGATAATATACATCAGTGGTTGTGATGAAAACATATATCTTTCCATTCAATAGATGGAGGATCTTTTACACACCAGATAGCATTTCAGGTATTGGTGCTCTGCCAGTGACATCTATACATACAATTTCTGATCATGAGCCTCACATAGAAGAATATATTGTATGCAATCCACAGTTCAAAAGTTTAGGGTCAGCAAGATTTTTTAATCTCTTATGCTCACCAGGTCTGCAGTTATTTGACCAAAAATAGTTACATTTTAAAATATTATTACAATTTAAATTAACTGTTTTATATTTGAATATATTTTAAAATGTAATTTATTTCTGTGATGCAAAGCTGAATTTTCAGCAGAAATCATGTTAATATGCTGATTTGCTGCTCAAGAAACATTTCTTATTATTTATCAATGTTGAAAACGGTTTAATATTTTTGTGGAAACCGTGGTGTATTTTTTCCGGATTTTTGTTAGAAATATAAGTGAGCAATTTAATGCAATCCTTGCTAAATAAAAGTATTAATTTTGCTACCCCCCAAACTTTTGAACAGTATGTCTTTTGAAGCCACATGTAAGCCTTGTGTGAGGAAAATACTAAATTTAAGACATTATTCATTGAAAACCAAATTTTTCTTGTTCTTTTTAAGAGCTTCACAGCCATGATCACTAGGAACTGTCATTCTGGAACGACATTAAATTTTTCGAGTGAACTATTACTTTAACTCTTTGGTTTGCTGTTTAATTACATTTCAATATAATTAGTTTCCACCCACAGCTGCTGACAGCAGAACTTTTCTACTGAGTTACAGCAATTATTCTGACCAGCATAAAGACTATTAATCCAAAAGTGCGAAGACTGCATTATTTATATGTGGTTGAAGCTCCCACGTTGCTGAGGTAGCTATTGTGTGGCTTTTTTATTTGTTTGGCTTGGACTGAAGAAGGATGAACATTTATGTTCCTCCATTCATAGTCCCTTTCTGGCGTTCATTAGGAGTAAAACTATTTTATTTTAGGCTTTTAGATTGGGGGTAATGGTAAAATAAGTAGCTTGTACCTGAAACAATATGACGAAACCTAACCGAGCCGCAAGAACCGACCAGTACTGTTTGGAGAACTGGTAAGGCTCAGTTGACCATGGTGGTTCTCTGTAGTCCTTGTACCTAAAATTAACAAAAGAACAGACATCCCAAGTTATTTAAGGCTATTTCATCTCAGTGAGGATCCATTTGTTGATTGGCAATAAAAATAAACCGAAAATTTACAAAGGGCAAAACAACACAACAGCATTATTAATCATGATGAGGACATTTAAAGTGCAAAAGAAGGAATTTCATATTTGTTGTTTAACTTAACAACTACTTTGTAGATTTATTTCCTGTTGGGATGCAGTGAAGTCATTCTGTAATTAGACTTCAGTTGATTTATTTTATCAGTGTAATGTATCTCCTAGTTGCAAGGCTTAATCATTAAACACCATTTTGTTATTACAAAGAAAAATATGTTTTCCCTGGTGGTGAGTTTGTCAGCTATGTTACGGACATACTGTGTGTGTTGACAGGTAACATAGTTGAGAATTTCACCATTTTAACTCGTAATTTCAATGGCAGGCTTCATCTGGCCAACCAAATGTTATTTTCTTGATCAGATTAAATTCTCATTTTAATATTTATTTGAATTAAAAATACTGCAAACCATAACAATGTACCCAATGAACAATTAATATACTCCATGTCATGACAATATTGGAGATCAAATATAGAAAGAAAGAAAAAATACCATAACGCGGTCAAAATGTCACAGAAGAAAATGATTGCATGATGCTGGTCACATGGTTTTGTGAGATTTTTATTTTTTTTTATTTTTCAGGGGGGTTGTTTGGTATGGAAGCGCATTTCCGCCAGATTATAGAAATAAATGTAATATAGATAGTCTTGACTTTAACATTTTTTATTCATTATTTTGAACTTGTCAATTCAAAAAGCGGTCATTGCAACAACTGTAATTTAAGGGGCATAAAGGCCATTTCAAGAAAACTGAAGAACACAAAATATATGTGTGAGATATATCTCTTGGTGGATTAAATATACAATATTTCTGAACAAAATTGTTAGAAAAAAACAGAATTATCATCAATGGACATGAAATATACCTAAAATATAGAATGATCATACAGTTGTAGTAGGAGGAGACAATCTTGGTCATGATGATTGCATATTTTGATTATATCTTGCATGCTTAATTCATTAGACCAGGCTATTCCCAGAAGTTTTGATTTCCTCTATTGAATAGTGAAAAGTAAACTCTGAGTCTTTAATAACCCACTAAGGACATTGATTTCATGGCCATATACAGTAATCTACGTGGAATGTGTTAGGCTGGTTTTGATTTCTTCAGACAGTCAGATATCTTTATCTGAAGACATGGTCCCTGGGGTGAAGTCCTTGTTTGGTTATACAAGTCCAGAAAGGGCAAATATGGTGCAGTAAAAACATGGGCTTGATTTGTTCCTCGACCCTATTTTAGAACGCTGACAAGCTTGCCCTCTTGCTCCCTCTCCATCTATCTGTCCTCTTAATAAACAGTCTGAGGGTCAAAGGAACCTAGACATCAGATTGCCACTTCTCTTTGGTCCAAGTAGCTACAAACGAGCGTAATCTCGTTCTCAACTGCTTGGAGCAGAAAAAGCAGACCGGTTCTGATAAAAGCACTTTTCTTGACATGCTTCTGATCTGTGTTGTGAAGGCCGCCCGAGATAATCAAAGCAGTGGTGAGATCTCACACTTCAGGGTGATGGAGTCCCATCTAGAGGTTTTTCTCCCTCTCTCTTTCCTCCACTTCAGTGTGAGGGTTAAACGCCGTTTGCTGTCCTGATAATAATAATAATAATTCTTTCCAGAGAACTGATGAACACAATTACTATCACTATCAACACAAGCAAACAGCACTGCTTCATTAGAAAAAAAAATTTCACATTAAGGCGGTTTACAAAACTACTTAGGCCGACACAGAACCTGTGCATGTTCTTCCACATTTTCTGTTCTGATTTTGAAGGAAAATCCACAGAATTCTGTGGAACAGTTTACGATTTTGTAAAACACATTATGAGTTATAGCTATATCTAAAACAGGGCGGGAGTTGTTGTGAATGACAGTCGGATTCTGCAGAAGTCTATTCACTACCAAGCCCATAAGGAATCTGTGAGAGTGCAGTAGATTTCCAAAGAATCGAATATGCGTGTCTGTTTGTTAAATATTTTTTAAAGGGCGAGCTACCCTTTCTATGTGGTCCAGTTCTTTGTAATTTACTGTTGAACTAAATATGCTGAACTGGATAGGCTGGTTGAATGTTTATGACTGTAAAAATGTAAAAGAACCATTTGTTTTGCCCTCCTATCAGAGTTTTCCACATGCAGGTGTGGAAAATCTGATGAAGAATACATGCAATCTCACCAGACGCCGTCCAAGAGGATCAGTATGTTCAGACCATAATAGCTTCGACACATGTTTATTTCAGACATGATTTAAAAGGAGCAAACGACGGGTCCTATGGTTGTTTACGGCCTGTGTGCTGTCATACCAAGAACCCTTTTGATGTGAACAATCAGTTTGCTTACAACTATTCAGTTTTGAACTAAATTTCCAAGTTGCATGTTTTATCAAAGCAATAGGCAGCTGTGCATCACAGCCATTTTACCACAGGAAAGGGATGTTCAATAAATTGTTTGATTTATTATTGCTAGTAATAGAATTCATTTTTCCAACCTGCAGAATGTAACGTCTTTGCCGAGACTGGAGATGGAAGGCACAGTTCCAGGTTTAAAGTTGCTGACATTAAAGTAAGAGAGCGTGTGGTTGATGAAGCCATGCATGGTCCCTGTCTCGCTGTACATGTACTGGTAGACCAAGCGAGGGATGAAATCTGACGTGAAGGAGATGACAAAGGCCTGAAATGATAAAATAACAGGTAAAAGATCAAAATATGTAATAAAAATGTAAAAGCAAAAAGTAGAACTTTTGCTAAAACTATCATTAACTGTAATAAAGACCAGACCAGGGTTATTAGTTAACTCAAACTAAAACCATTAAATACATTTTTGTTAAAATGTAAAAAAAAAAAGTAATTTATATTATTTTAGCTAGTTGCTAAAGCAACAGTTCTCATTTTAATTTAGTTTAGCTTGATGTACAAAAATAACTAAAACTAAAATAAAATATACAGGCATATTTACAAAAAACATTTTAAATTGACAAAAGCACACAAGAAAAACTTTAACTAAAATTAAAACAAAAATTGAAAATATAAAAAAATAATTTAAAATATTAATTAAAACTATAATGATACTAAGCTATAATAAACACTCATCCAGACCACTAAGGAACATATAACTTAAGGTAATCTTCATGCAGAGTGTATGGAGGACCAAACCTGCAGAAATTAAAAATGAATAAATATATAGATAAATAAAGAAATAAAATGACAGGAAAATAAATAAAGGAATAAAATAAATGAATAAATAAATCTGGAAATAAATACACGTGGGAATAAATAAATATAAAAAAGAAATAAACGCATGAATAAATACATTTAAAATAAATAAATACATAAATAAATAAATATAAAAAATAAAGGATAAGATAAGTAAATAAAACTTAAAAAGAATAAAAATAAATACAGAAAATAATACATATAGGAAAAAGGTCATAAAAATAAATTCAGGATTAAATTTTATTACAAATGAACTATATTTGTTTTTATCAAGTCATTTATTTCTTTATTTTCCTGTTATTTATTTATTTATTATTTCTGCAGGTTTGGTCCTCCATAAGAGTGGTACCATTGATAATACGTGGCATTTAATTGGATTGGAGAGGTCATTTATAGCTGTAACATTAAACGAATACTTGATTTCCAAAAGAACAACACAGCTGGAGTCAATCAGATGTCGGGCTTCTGAGTAAATGTGGCTTTCTTAATGAAAGTTCAGAGAGAAGCTGAAGGATCTTTACCATAAGGCTTACTGGAATGCTCTTCTCATATTGGGAACATCACATCTATTAAAATACATCTGCTAGAGGTTTATCATTCAATTTTAAGTAGGAGAGACATGCATGAAGCAAACCGTACAGGTGAAAGAACATCTGTACAGTGCTAGAACAGGCATAAATTTATTTCTTCCATGAATAATGTGAACCCAAGCTTCTTAGAATCTTGTAAGTCTTATGAAAACAATAAGAGGATCTCTTTAACAGTGATGCACCCTGGGGTCTTTATGGATACCTCTTCACATGATTAACTTTCCATAAAGAGGACTTATATGACTAGCATGTGGTAAGCAGCAGAGATATATAACAGAAACTTACATTGATGATGACCGAGAACTTTCCCAAACCACTCAAGATGTTGTACCAAATACCTGTGTGAGGAAACATTTCAATTCAGAGGTTAAATTAGTAGATTCGAGTCCGATTAAGAATCCAAGTGAATAGTTGTAGTGTAAAAATTAATACAAGGTTTTCACCGATATCTTTGGCCCTAATGGCATCTGGCCTGCGAAGCTCCGTGACAAACTTCTTGGCGTCGAGGCGGATCTCGATGACATTGTTCAAGAGAGCGAAAAGCGGAGCCAGTGGGAATGAGGCCACAAAGAGCGACACGAAACCAAACTGAATGACTGCAGAATGGAAAACAAGCAAACATGTAGGTTACATGCTGAGACATTTGGATTACAAATTGGAGTTTGATTGATAGAGCTATAAGACTGCTGTCTATTACCAGACATTAAGGATTAAATATTGATTTTATACAGCCATTCAACAGTTTGGGGTTGGTAATATTTCTTAACGTTTTTGAAGTCTTTTATGCTCCCCAATGCTTTCAAAAATACAGTAAAAACTGTAAAATTGTGAAATATTATTACAATTTAAAATAGCTGTTTTCTATTTGAATATATTTTCAAATGTAATTTATTCCTGTGATGCAAAGCTGAATTTTCGGCATCATTACTTCAGTCTTCAGTGTCACATGATCCTTCAGAAATCATTCTAATATGCTGATTTGCTACTCAAGAAACATTTCTGACTATTATCATTGTTGAAAACAGTTATTTTTACTTTTTTGTCACGATTCTTGAATAGAAATGAATAGAAAGTTCAAAAGAACAGCATTTATTTGAAATAGACTTTATTTTTAACAATATAAAAGTCTTTACTGTCACTTTTTCTCAATTAAATGCATTTTTGCTAAATAAAAGTTACTTACGGACCCCAAACTTTTGAACTGTAGTGTTGCTGAAAATAAATAAATATAAATTAATTAATAAAAATAGACTTATACAGTGTATGTGTTCACATATAGATCAAATAACATCTTAAGAAAGTTCCACAAATCATAGTAACAATGGAAAAACCACTACTTATTTGATGTGGTGATTTTCTAGGAACAGACTGTGTCTTTCTACAGTAACTTGACATTACCAGCATGGGTGTCAAGCACAAAGCTGATTATTTGTCAATCAATAACACATGGAACATAAGCCTTGTGGGAAACTGCATTTCCTTCTTTGGCTTGATTGACACATGGCCTTTTTTCCTGTGCAACATGCAAACAATGGCTTCTAGAGTGATCAGGCTGGAGGGTATCCTACATAAACATCCATACGAGTGGGTCTCATTCCCCTGCTCTCACTGAGAATATCTTTCACAGTGTGTAGGTGGTGATCTCCCTCCAGTGTTATTACTTAAGGACTTGAGTTCATCTTCAGTTTCTCCCCAATCGTTTCTTTGATTCGAAGAGTCTCATAAGTGTTTCTTGTATAAAGAACATGAAAAACTAGAAAATCTGTTTTATTTGGAAGTGGATTAAAGCATCCATACATTTTCAAGAAAAGACTAAGGCGCAGGTTTTCTCAGGTCTCTGATAGACAGTTATGCAACTCGCCTGCACTTCAGGGACTAAACCAGCCCACATCAAACCACTCAATCAACAATCACGATCGGGAACCATAATAAACTCCACAGATCCTAGAATTACAGAATAAAGCTCTTGTTGTGTACCTGCATTCAATTTTATATAGCAAAACATTAAAAAAAAAAAAATCTACAGTATTTACAACAGAGCTGTTTCGAGTCAAGTTGAAAGAAACTTTTTTTTGCAAACGTGTCAGGAAACATCAGTCGGCGTCTTAGCTCTCAGCATAATTGGGTTGTATAAATGTAGGATGACTAATAGTAATTCAAGTTTGCATTGGTGTTCATATGTTTAACTTTGCTGTTTACCCACTAGGCTTTCAGATCTTTTACAGACGTCTTCATGCCAACTTACATAAACACTCAGTCAGTTGTGTATCACCGTAAGCCACATGCTAGCGAATGTAGGCCCTTTCCCAATTGTAAACACAGCTGTGAAACAAATGCTTGGGCTACTGGCCCAATTCACATGTTCATTCATAATTCTGACCATTAAAATAGTCACAAACTGGGCGTGTCAAATCCAGAGACCTGTGCATTCCTCCAACAACAAATCCTGCGGTTCTCGCCGAAGGGGATGAATTAGATTAACTAGATGTTTTCTCACAGCACTTCACCCTGAGGACGCTTTACTTTTGCTTTTACACAGAGTGGAGTGTAACTCACTCATCTCCATGTATTCAGGTGTGAGTCCGTCAAAAGGCTCCAGGTCGTAGTCCAGGTGCCACTGCTGGCGGCGACCCGGCTGCTCCACAATCTCCTTGGGCGCCCGCTCTTTGTCCTTGAGTGTGCGGCACAGCTTCTTCAGCTTTCTAAAGCGGGAAGTGAGAGGGAGAAAGAGCAGAGACAGAATGTAAACACACAAACCGTTGCTATAAACTTGACCTTGCAGCTAAAATGACCCAGATTTGATAGCGAGTCAAGTGTCAGGTTTGCTTCTAAGAACGGCATATGAATTTTATGCAGACATATTGTGTGCTTTGTTTATATTTACATAAATATTACTATTGCTTATACTGTACATAGAGTTGGTGATTTTTCAAATGCAAAACAACTGCACTTTTCTATATTCATTTTAATTGTATAAATTATGTATACACATTCTAACATCATGGCGGTGATTTTTGCACAGGCAAACACCACTCATTTTCTTCAGGAAATTGTTCTTCTAACATCATATTAAACTCGCTTTTGGTTTCTGAGCTTTAACTTAATTTAAATTCCTTTGTGTGATTCAGTTCAGTGATCTGGCATGAGAATTAACTTGCAATGGCATGAATCTTGGCTAGGAGTTCCATGATCTATTGGTATAACCACACGCAGGTGTGTACAGGAGACAGACCGATACGTCTGATACACACATACACGGAAGGACTCTCTGGAAATCTCATTATTGTACACATCTGTTCACTGATTTTCCTTCAAACCACACAGACACAAGACTGTCTGTTCCAGCCTGGTTACATGAAAAAGACTCAAATCAAACAGAATGCAAAACTCTACAGCAAATATTTCGATTAGTCAAGCAATAAAGAGCCTATTAAATCTCTCAATTCAATGCTAAAACACACGGACAGCTTGACTAGAGGTTCTACATGTGTCGGTTATAACTCAAAAACAACCGACAATACCTAAAAGAGCCAGTGGAGATCACTGGACCTTAAAGTGACCATAAATAACTCCCAAAGTGTTTGGAGTTATTCCACATTTAAAGACAAACCTCTCATAAACTTCTCATTAAGCAGTCTGGGATTTCAAAGACACAAAAGAAAGGTTGCTTACATGAGTGAGTTTCGAAAATGAGAAAAATAAACTAACGACCCATGTTGTAAAATTCAAAAGCTCAATGTAACAGGATATATATAACCATAAAAGCACGCCAGCAAACATGTTAATTACCACCATGCAATCACGATCACAACATAATTTTGATCCAATTTAACCTGAGGTTTCATTCCAAGTCATTAAAACAGAATGTGCACAGACATCGCTCTAGGTTCAAGGCTTTGTGTTTGGAGCGTCCTCATCAGAAAAGCAAGTGCGAGACCATGACAGCTTACGTTGGACTGGCCAAATATAGTGGACGAAATGGCCCGTGTGGTCCATCCATCTACAGCCTATTAACGCTCCCAGTAAAACCCTACAAATCCATCTGCTGCATTATTTAGTCTCCAAAACTACAGCCTTTTCCAGCACATTACTTTTTAATGCACACCTTTGTATCATAAGTGCTTTCCTCCATCCGTGATAAAGCTCTCATTTACCAGCTGTTGGAATGCATTTGCATTTGAGAATGCTCATAAAGTCACATGCAAACCCCTACTGGTGAACAACAACTTGTCAACGACAACTAAAACAGACTTTAAAGGGATAGGTCACCCAAAAATTCTGTCATAATTTTTCACCCTCGAGCTTCTTTCTTTAGATGAGAAGATACTTTGAAGAATGTTGGTAACCAAACAGTTGACGGTAGCCACTGACTTCCATAATATTTTTTTCCATACTATTGAAGACAATGACTACTGACAATTGTTTGTTTACCCAAAAATTAAAGTTCCCTCAACATTTATTCACCCTTGAGTTTCTTCTGTTGAACACAAAAGAAGATACATGAACACAAATGTAGATACTTGTTATTGATACTTGTTAAAATATTGGTAATCAAACAATTGAGGGTAGCCGTTGACTTCCATAGTATTTTTTTCCATACTATGAAAGTCAGTGGCAAACGTCAACTGTTTTTTTCACCCAAAAATGAAAATTCTGTCTTCATTTATTCACCATTAAGTTTCTTTCTTCTGTTGTACATGAACACAAAAGTAGATACTTTGAAAAATGTTGGTAACCAAACAGTTGCGGTACCCATTGATTTCCATAGTATTTTTTCCATACTATGAAAGTCAATGGCAACCGTCAACTGTTTGGTTACAAACATTCTTCAGAATATCTTCTTATGTGCTCAACAGAAGAAAGAAACTCATACAGGTTTGTAACAACTTGAGGGTGAGTAAATGACAGAATTTTAATTTTTGGGCGAACTCTGACTTTAAAAAGACACCCTTTTGAACGTATAAGGCTCTGTTTTTAGCATGCACATTAGTATGATATAGTATTATGGCATTGGTCTCTGGGGAGATTAGATTGGTTAAGTAGGTCAGGTCTCTGCGTGAGGGGGATATCGAGTCATTCTGAACTCCATCATGGTACGTTTGCACCAAAGTCCACTTTTGTGAGTATTTATAGAACAGAACGGGAGAATGGGGTTGACTTAGTTCTCCTCTCATGGGCCATATTGCTTTTTTGATTTGCATTCTTAAATTAACTACTTTTGCACTCTGAGGTACAACTGGGAGATCGAAAGGTCATCTGCAATGACAACTTTGCGGAACATGCCAAAGACATGTTGGAGTGTTTTTACATGCTCACACATGGTTTACAACGAGAGGAAGAGCAAAAAAAGACAGAGCTGCCATAAAGCACTAGTGATTTGGAGTAGCTGTCAATCAACTCAGCAACAAGTTACTGTTGTAGCTCGTAAAAAGACTTTTAGGGTTGCACTCTATGATTAAGCTGAGCAGCATGGAACAAAAGGCATTCCTTTTGAGTTCCTTGAGTGTTTCTGGCTAGCTTAACAAGTTCATTTAAATTAAACCAAAATGCGTGACAAAGATGTGGAGATAAAACTCTCTGAGTCATATAATGAATCATAAATTAAAGCGTTTATGTTTATCAGATAACTCACAACCAACTGAATGTGTCATTCATCAAAGCGATCCGTGTGGAAATGGATATAGAGAAAAAAAATGAACTGGTGTTCTTGTGAAGGACAAGGCTAAAAAGGGATTTCCACAAAACGGACAGTCCACGACTCATACCCATTTCACCACCCAGGGGAAATCCCGTCCCAGATTTTTGCAGTCGTCTGCTCATGCATTAATGCATGCATGCCACACACTAGGCACTTTGCTGCACAAGTGGCACCTGTGATCATTTTCTTTTTATATGCGCTGCAAGTACAGACTTTATTCCATGTATGCCATCAACATCAGTCACACTGATTTGCATTTTAACCTGTTCATTAATGACATGATGCACCACTTGTGCAAACATGTGAAATGAGACCGGAATCCAGCTTATAAGAGTACAAGGAGAGGCGTGTCAGAAAGTTTGCCTGCGTGCAAAAAGGGAGTAAAAGGAACTGAATAAAGGGAAAAAAAGTCAGAAAGGCAATGGAGCAGAAAGTGGGAGCAAAGCCTACCTCACTATCCTGGGATTTCCTGGTCTATAAACCAACTTCGGCAGGAACAGTGTTTACCGTTTAACTGAAGGAATGATCTTTCTAAGGTTTCCAGATAGAGAAGCTATTGTGTTTAGTGGTAGAGCGTGTTTTATGAGATCCACGAAGAGGAGTGGGAACTTACGGAATGCCAATCTCAAAGATGTTATTCTGAATAAGCTGCTTTCCCAACATGATGATACTGAGCTGGATACAGAGTTCAATTAGACAGCCACCAGGAGCACACTGGGAAGAAACGTAAAAGTTGTTTTGACAGTTGATGAGTAGGGTCGCAGGATTTGGGAGGAAAAAAAACAAATTGCAATTTTTCTGATAAAAATACTGATTTAAAATGTTATTATTTTATTGTAATTATTATTACTAAATAAGAATATTAAACAAAATAAGAAATAGTACTATTGTAATATTTTGCAGTAAAAAATTATGTATTAAATGACTGAAGTATTTAAGAAAATAACAATAATAATTATAATTATATATATATAAATGACAAAAACTAAATTATAAAACATTAATTACATTAAAACATCAACTGTACTGTACTGTACAGTGAAAATTGTAAAAATGGATTCAAAATATCAGTAAAAATGATCTCAATACTAAACACTGATTAGTACAACTGTAAAATTACAATACTAATATTTTGGCAGTCTTAATTTCTTCATTTTCAAATTAAACTGAGTGTTTATTTTGGTGGAAAACTCTTTTGTTGACAAAAACACAGTGCTGTGCTTTCCTGTGCATAAATTCAATCAAATCTCAGCCTTTGCAGTAAGCCACAGCGCGATTTTGGATTTATTTTGATTCGTCCTGCAGCCCTAATGTTGAACATGATGTTGTAGTGCTAACAAACATACAGGATGCAACAAAAGGTGAACCGTACTCACCTCTTCCATACGGTAGTCATTGAAGACATAAACATAGTCACCGGGGTGGCCTGCAAACCTGTAAAAAAACAAAAAAAACAATGATGAGTGAGGGTCACATGCCTAAAGGAAGTGCCAAGGGTCACATGTCTATCTTATTTGAAGCCAGATGTTTGTGCTGCAGTCAGACTTCACGTTCACTGTGCTACAGGCGGAGTATGTGTGAGTTTGTGTGCTTTTCTCTTCCTGCAACAATTAACTATGGTGGATTTGAGCAATCCTGTTTTGGGACTGAACCGGTCCACATACCTCCCTTTGAAGAAGGCCACGTAGAAGATGGGTGCATAGGCATTCATGAACTTCAGGAGGAATGCCTTCAGAATCAGACGCTCCTCAAAGTTGGTCTCTGTTTTTGGGATCTCTGCAGACAAATGAATGAAATTATTTGGGATTTAAACAGATATGTTCTGGATAAACTGCACACCACTTTAAAAGCTTGTTGTTCTGACAAGTATAACAAACATGGGTGGCTTGGAAATTTCTCCCAACATGTTTCTCTTTAGCAGCTTCTGTTCAGCAGGTTGAAGGTTGAGAAACAGAGCTTTTCAGAAGACCATATGGTTACATTTGGGACGGGATTTCATGTTTTGTGGCGTTCCCTAAATCTTAATCTGCCACAACAGATTATAGACAGCGATTTTGGCAATACATTCACCATATTTCAATGCATTCATTACGCTCAAAAAAAAATCCCAAATTCCAGTAAGTCTTGTAAAATATATTAAAAAAGCATGAATTGGTGAGTTTGGAAGTAGGTTAAAGCATCAGGGTGAATCAGGCTGCATGTGGTCAGACTTTAAGAGTGAAAATCAAAGAAGCACGGGAAAATCTATATCTTATTCACGAGATGATAACACATGCTTTCTCCGTTTCCTTCCTTCCCTACACATCCACAGAGACTCTCATTTATTAAAACGTCTCTTAAGGAAATCTCGGTGATGGCTAACTGACAAGCTGCATTATCTCCAGCGTTCCTGGAGTGGCTCAATTAAAAATTCATGTCATGTGGGTGGGCAAAGAAGGGAAGATGGACATCAGAAAGAAGGGAAGTTGACTATAAGTCATAATTTAGCAAAAATACTGAGGCATGTGGTAAAACCTCACCCAGTTCTGTGAGCCAGGCAGCCACCATGCCATAGATCTCATCCAGGATGAGGATGACCACCAGGTTGATAATGACTGCAGTGGCTGTGACGGTCACTCGTACGTTGGACTTGACCTCTGGATCCGGACTCATGGCCATTAGGGCGGAGATGGTGATGCGGTAGATGATGACACTGAAGACAGCAGAGCAAGTCACTCCAAACTACATGGAAAAAGGAACACGTAGAAGTAGAAGAGAACTGAAATATGGACAAGCACAAAAACGTTGCACCATACAGGAAGCCTAAGGCTTACCATGAACAGAATGGAGGAAATGTTGATTAAATATCCAGGCAGTCTGTCCCTCCATGTTAGCTTCTCATGTCCAGTCTGTGAAGGGAGAAAGACATTTAAGGTGACTAATGGAAGTATGCATGCATGTGTTTCTGTTTTTCTAGGAGCTATGCCTTTTATTTTGCTTTTTTACCTCAGCTACTTTTATAGTGACTCAATAGTAGCCTATTGTGGAAATAATTTGACTGCCCACTTGTAAAAACATGAATCAATAAGGCCATTAACACCTGGCCTTCCTCTAGAGTAGTCTCAGCCTCAGATGTCACGCCCATGGACTTCAGGAGTTTCGAAGTCGTCATCTGACTGGTTGAATTATACAGGATTTTCAGGAGATGTGTGTGTCGTGTTCTTTAACGTTCCATCTGGAAACAAAGATGCCATGATGCTAAATCCCCCTCATTGAAGAAGAAATGCGTCGTATTTACAACTGTGATGATGAGTGCTTATCAAGGTTTTAACTAAACTCTGGATTTTCAAAAGTATGTGAAATATGTAAAGTTTGCGCATAGACTCTTTAAAATACGTCCAAGAGTTTTACACACCGGTCTGTTATTGTGGGGACATTTCCACGCCCCTAAACATGACGCGGCACAAAACTAAACGTGATTGGTTGCTTTAACTGTCAGTCATATGGCCTCTTGGGTGGTCCTTGGCCATTCAAAGCGGCCAAGGTCTGGCTACGCGAGACTACCTCTAGAGAAACTTCTCTGCATTCTGTACATTCAAGTGATAGATCATATCTCCAAAACATCCGGTCAACAAGGAGAACCTATTTTAATGACCTGAATATGCCTCCTTTTGCATTTATTTCAGACCTAATTAAAGCCAACATTAGCATCAACAGCGTGCACTAAACTTGTCTGCACAGGCAGCAGTGGATTGAGGGTGGTCTGTTCCCATTGGGTTTATTCTTCCTTCATTGTCTAGCTTTGGACAGCAGATCAAGAGGTATGTTCCTCTGAGGAATACGTGTTAGATGACCAACAGCAGAAAAATTGATTCTTATTCAGTTCTGTGGAAATCACAGTGAAATGAATTATCAGCCCACAGGAATGTTAAACGGCAGCTTATGTTCCTTTTAAGTCATAGAAAAATGTCATTACAAAACGTCTCAGGTTACTTATGTAACCATGGTTCCCTGAGTAGGGAACGAGACACTGCGTCCTCTAGGGGTCGCTATGGGGAACGCCTTGTCGTGACCCGTGTCTGAAGCATACATTGAAAAACACCAACAACACGTTGGCCGGCGACAGCCCATGACATCACTACCGGTGCGACTATAGTATAAATAGGCGCAGGGAGAACATGTCATTCACTTCTTCGTCTGAAGCTTGCGTCCGCAGCATGGCAAGAAACCTAGAGGACGCAGTGTCTCGTTCCCTACTCAGGGAACCATGGTTACATAAGTAACCTGAGACGTAATCTTTAGTGGAACAAAATATAATCAGTTGTCCCTGATTATCCGTCTTTGTAGATACTGATCTGATGCGAAATAAAAAAACAAGCCACATAGGTATAAGCCATCTGGTTTGACAGGAGGGGAGAAATCCATTCCTTAGCACTGGGGCAGATGCTGTTTCCTGCATCCACACACTGCTGATGCGCTGGCAGATGATTGTTGACTCACAAAGTGACCTTTATTCTGCACCTTCACTGGCAGTGCTGCACCCTCTGAGGAAGAGTGTTTTTAGAGCTCACTCCTCAGGGAATCTTCTACATTTAGAGCTCATGAAGCGTGCTCCTCTCTCTCTCACTGTCATATGTGCACACACTCTGCAGTGATTGGAGGTTGACAGCAGATCGGGTTGGTGAACTGATGTCAATGTTTAAATGAGCGGCAGCAACCTCTGTGTTTGCCCTTGACAGCCTTCTGTTGAGACATGTTGTGAAAAACAACTTCAGCACATGGTATAACTGACATATAAATTAAATCCCAAAATGAATGGAATTTATCATCAGATGTCAGCCAGAAGAGCATTTAATGACACTCATCGCAACTTTGGGTTCGTATATGTTTGGACATGGCTCATTACCATATTGATTGTATAAAATGGCTTAATAAAAATATTAAAGATGCAACTTTTCATTAAAACAGTACTTTTTAAAGCTAATTTATTATGTGCTATTATTCTTTAGAAGTATACACTACTGTTCAAAAGTTTGGGGTCAGTATGATTTTTTTTAATGAAATTAATACTTTTAGTCATCAGATACACATTAAATAAGAACTCTGCCTGAGACAGCATTACACAAGAAGGTTCTCGCAAATGCCACCTATACTTCCCGCTCGATGCCTCGGCAAGAGGGGGTTATCCTGGAGCCCGGACATCCAGGAATTCTTTGCAGTGTCGTGCCGGGAGGACATCGCGTGCGTGCTCTTTGCCCAAACAAACAACGCAGAGATCGTGTGTGTCATCGGATGTCAAATAACGACGACGTGGATGCACCCACCCTCTAAACGCTTTGCTAGTGCTCGCCATAACGATAGGAATATAGATCGCTCTTAC